CCCCCCTCCCCTCTAGAACCCTCAGTTTGTTTCTCAGAGTCCATAGTCTCTCATGGTTCTTAACATATATTGCATTATTTGTTTCAGAGGTTCAGCAGCTGGGTGATGGTGATTTGTTTTTGATGTTTCTGAAAAACACATGACTGTTCTCCCTCTGCTTACAAGACTTTTATACGCTAGGAGGGACCGTATTTGGGGATGCCTATTAAATGTACCAGAAATCATTCACAGAAGTAGCTGAGAATGTGTACTCACCGGGCGATATAGGCCTGCTTGAACTTGGAGAAGGTGTGTAAGGGATCGGGCTGGACACAGTGCGAGGTCTTAATCCTTGTGCAGACATCTCGTTAAAATACCTAAGAGGAGAGGGGGGGTAGGTATCAGAACTGTGTGCATTTCAAGAGTTCTTAAGGGAGCTCCTATGAGATAATGTTTGGGGTTCATATCTTGAGGTCAAACGTTGGGATATTTAGAGAGTGATGCTATAGCGAGGAGACATGTATAAAGCAGACTTGGGGGTCACAAGGCTCCACTGCTTGCTTGGCAAGCCCCTCTCCCTTGGGATACAGGTTAGGGACATCTGGAATGTTCTAGCTCCAGGGGGAGGCCTACTAACAGAACTGTGTCATACAACAGAGAGGGCTGGGCTTTTCTTCATCATAGAACAGCTATGTAGCAATCTACCTCCGTTGTCCCAAGGATTATAGACACATTCATGTTTTGATGGCTACATTTAATTTAAATTGTTATTTGCAACTCAAACCCAATCAAGCCCTTTAAGATTTATGTCATCAAATTAAAGCTTAAAGGTAATGGAAAAAATATGTTGATTAAAAATAAATTAAAAAATAAAATTAAAGCTTAAAGGTAACGGTATTCCCGTGAACTGGCGGAAGACCCAGCGTCGCACACCTACTGCAGTCACGCTTGGCCACAGCTTGCCGGCTCAGACTTCTTCCTGGACGTGGAAGCCACACCAGACCTGAGGATCCTCAGGCCTGATGGTCAGCCTTCACTCTGTGAACGAGCACAGAATGCTGACAAGGAGAAATCTCTGCTTGAGGGACTTCCCCATCAGCTACCCTTCATAGGCCTCGCAGCCAAAGGAAGCAACAGTGGTGCGTGCAGGGCTCTCTAACCCAGGGAAGATCCTGGCCCCGACTGTCCATCGTTCCTGAGAAGAACGTTAACACAGCCATTTCCATGCTGGGTCATTTGGCTTAAAGAAAACCAGGCTCCCAAATCTGCCCTGCAGCTGTCAACTAGACCCCCTCGGTGACCTCTGCCTGCCCTCTAGAGCAGCCCGCCACGGCGGCACCAGGGCCTGCCTCTACCCTACGGCCCGCTAGACAGCGAAAACCGCCTCTTGCTCTTTAAGGAATAAGCACACTTGTAGACATCTTAAGTTTCCAACTATTTTCTTTCCCGCAAATGTGACATCATCATTCCTAACAGGGAGAGGAGAAATCTTTTTTGGACAGCGGTACTCTAGCTGGGATAATGTGACCTATGACAGACAAGGCAAATCTTCTGGAGTAAATAAATACCAGTTCTGGGAAAAAATATATACATATTTATCTGGAAGCCTGAAGTAGCTTCAGTATTTTCACCATGGTCGGAAGATACTGCCCCTCACAGTGTGTCCTACTCAGAATCAAGTACAAGGCACTGTGTAGTGTTAATGCATGGTCTGCTCCGTGTCTTAAGGTAGTTAATAAAATAGTTATTTGGTATTCTAGCTGATGTTTTTAGTCAAATGGCTTTCAGAGGCCAAGGATTTCAGAGAGAAGGGAACACTGTTGGAAAGAAATCAGTGAGAGACGCCTGGGTGACTCAGTCGGTTAAGCATCTGCTTTTGGCTCAGGTCATGATCCCAGGGTCCTGGGATCAAGTCCTGCATCAGGCCCCTTGCTCAGTGGGGAGCCTGCCGCTCCTCCCGCTTGTGCCCTCTGACAAACAAATAAATAAAATCTTAGAAAAAAAAATCCGTGAAATTCAAGGTAAGGTAATAGTTTTATGATACAAACTTTTGAGAAAGAATAATCTTTATTCTTTTCAAATGAGGAAGCACACAGCTATTTTAAATGATAACCCATTATTCTGTTTTTATAAGTTTTTATTATAAAAATATAGACCTTCATTATAGAAAATCTCAGATTTCTCTTAAAATGGTAATACCATTGTCTACAGCAAATTTATCAAAAGCTTTGTTAATAACCCTCTGGATCTATCCAGTTACGGAAAGAGAAAGGAAGTGATTTTGATGTGTTTTGGTGTCAACAGTCAAGATGATTCATCGTGGTCATTAGCAGACCCTGGGCTCACCCCTCACACTCAGATACCGACACGTAAGGCCAGGGCAACCTGATCCAGAACAGAGCATTTCTTTGCAGAAATGATCTGGTTCAGGGAAAGCCCAATTTCCCAAATGCTGGGTTTCTCTGCTGATTGAACAATTTTAATTTTTTCAAATTGGGACTCTGGATGAGAGAAATGCTGGGACCATTTCCTCTAGTTAACCACAGATGACCCTCTTATTTCAGCCCATTTCTTGGTGGGACAATAAGGGGGTCTGACACAGACTCTTGAGCAGATAAATGGGATGCACTGGTTTAAGTTTTTTTAAAGTAGCTGCAATAAGGCCCAGAAGTTTCCAAGTTGTTAATGCAAGGCCTCTGCCTTTCAGCAACCTCCATCTGCCTCCTGCTGATCCTTCAACCCAGGCACGCGTGGGTTCCCTCAGGCCGCATGATGCCTGCTCATCAACGTCTAGGACATAAGATGCTCCCATACTTTAAACAGACACAGTGCAGGATGAGACAAACTCAACAACTATGCACACACTGTCTCTCTATACATAACCCTCCATTTCTCTCTCGACCACGTAATTTTGGAAAGGCAACCTCTTCGTGGTCTTTCTGTGATTCAGGAAAATGGTCCATCTTCTCCATTTTCCCCAGGCTCAGCATGTATTCTGAGGTGGTGGGGGTCGTCGGCAGCACCCGGAAGTGTAGGGCCGCCTCCTCCCATGTCTACCCGGACGTGAAGGGAGACCCCCTGGAGGCTGGTCTGGTTTGGTTTGCTCCCAAGGCTCACGAGACGCACGCACACCTTTCGTCATCCATCTCCAGGCTGGACTCGCTCTCGGACAGCTGTCGACACAGGGCCTCTCTTCTCTCCATCTCTCTCTGCAGCTTCCTCTGCAGTCGCAGGTTCTCCTCCCGCATGTGGCGCTCCTCCTCCAGATATTGGGCCATTTTCTCAGAATCTGAAAAGCCAGAATTCTCGATTCAACTACGTTTCGTGCAATCATACTCAAACCTGAACTGAGAAGACCGCAGTCTGGCTCCTAGGCCACAAAGAATGTGCTCCCTCTCCCACACACAGGAGACCTGCATTCAAAGTTTACCCCACGTACCCAAGTTTGCCAACAATTTGCATTTACAGAATAACAGAAGAAGGGGCATGGCACTGGGAGGTCAGGTATCTTCGCTCCCACTTAGGTGCCTTCTAAAGTGCCACATGTGGAGGAGGAAATGGTGAACAGCAGCTACCAGAGCCCTGCGTGCTGCTGCAGCCCACGGGGGACGGGGCGGGGGGGCGGGACCCAGCCCAGGGACCCCCATTCAACCCAAGTCTGCTGCCGCTCAGCTCCAGTCACACCTGTTAGCACACCAGTGAGGACCAGGGCACTAGCACACACTCGGTAAGTCAGAATTCTGTTTATAAAAACAGAAACTGACACAGTAAACAACTTTAGGTGAATCTGTCAAGTCTAACTTCTGTGAGACTCTTTCCCTGACTCATGCACAGCCTCTCTACAGCAGGTAAAGACCCATATACCTGTCCCTCAGGAGCTGCCCCATATGACAAGGCCCCTGCTACAGGACTGGTTTCCTAGGCCAAAGCTGATTAGCTTCAGGGTGGGACGCTGGAACCAGCTGAGCGCATCAGATTTACTCTACAGGAATCTGAAATGTGGGGCTGACCTCTTCATGAGGCTCTAGACTCTCCTTGTGCCGAGTTCCCTGGAGCATTCCAATGAATGGTAAAACTTGCCCCCACCCGGCCCCTTTGCTGACAGAATATGTTAAGTCACCAAAATAATATTAATATAAAATTCAGTATCTGCCCGATCATGTTTAAGAGAGACCTACAGCTTACTGCTCCATATTATTAGTCCGCTCCAAATTCTTTTAAGGAAAGAAGCAGTAGAATTCCATACTGATCACTTCTTTCCCACAAAGTGACCCTACTTCAACTCCTAAGTCCATCCAATTAGTTTCAGTTTTAAGCACCTCTATGAAGGTATGGTGTTTTAGCAAATAATGACTTCTGATGATAAGTATTCAATGATTTCCAAGACAGCATCATTACAGAATAAATAAAAGCTCTTGAATATCCTTATTTTAGAAATTCAAATAAAAATACCAAAAACACTAAGTTATTAAACACTATTATGTGCACTAAAAACTAAATCCCTCAGTTGTTTTCAATATAACCAGAAACCCTGCTGCCTAATCCAGATGCAAAAATCTCTTTAATTGAAGGCATGCTGGGAAGATATTTACAAAGTACACTTTTAATATAAACAATTTAAATTATTTCACCACAAATATGCAAGCCTGTAGAATTTTTCACTAGCTCTACAGGAAGCACTATATTGGCCCCTTGGAGTATTATTGTTTCTAGAACAAGAGGAGCAGCTGTTGGAGCAAGCTGCCTTTCTTTTCCATAAATAGGAAAGCTTTAGAGAACTGAGGATTTATGAGGCTTCAAGAAAAATCGTTTAAGAGAAAACACCGTCTTTCAGATGCAACCCTTTAGCATCTGGGGAAATCAGCAGGGGAATCCTTAAACAATAATCTATACACAAGAACATCAGTTAGTGGGAGTGATGGCCGGAGGACTTTCCTGGCATCTGGGCAATTAACCCAGAAGCCAGAGGACAGAGAAGGCACCGGGCCCATCACCTCTAGGTGTTACAGACCAGCCTCAGATGACTGACACCACGGTATTCCTTGGGTGCCCTCTGCTGGCACATCACCGGTGACACTTGATTTCAAGACTGGATTTACTCCCATGAGTCACCCTGTCACCTTCTCTCACAAAGAGCTCCCTAAGACTTAGGGGCCACACCTGATGCTTCCGCCATCTTCAGCCATCTTGGAACACTTGGTGACTTCCAGACGGACTCCAAACAGGTGGGTCTCCTATGATCCAAAGGTGGCCTGTACATTTTGCATCCGCTTTCAAGTTTACAGTTAGAAAATGCTGGTACCCAGACCCACCCCAAACAGATCAAAATCCTGTGAATGAAGCCTCTCCACCGCTATACTGAACAGTCCCCAAGGGATTCTTATGTTCATCCCGAGCTGAGACCTATTGGGAGACAGGTTCAAGTTCTGATACAGCCAGACCTGGAGGGTGAGGAGCCAAGTATCCAGAAGCAGCCCAGGGAGGCGGGCTACCTGACCTCAGTCACTAACTCATCTTCTAAACCAATTCAGACCAGCTGTGAGCCAGGTGGGTGCCACATGTCCCTCCTTCCAGTCAGCTTTCTCTGCCCTCACAAAAATCGAAATCGCACTTATGGATGCCTCTGTTTGCATCTGCAATCTCTTCAAAGACCAAATAGTGCCATAAGAAGAAAGTAAAGGGAATGAAAAATTCCTCCTCAATTTCCTCTAAAGATTTTGTCTGGGGCACAAGAGAAGTATACACGAGAAAGCCGATGGCACTGAAAGGAGTTCAGGAAGGCACGAAAAGACCTCTGTCTGTCCAGCACCCCAAAAACTCAAAAAATATCCTAACATATCTAGTATTTGAGAATTCACTGATTTGTTTTCATAAAATGTATGTCATGGTTCTCAACCCAAGGTACACATCAGAATTCCTTGTATTAAAAAAATTGGAGAACCAGTTTCTACTCCTAGGGTAAGCCCAGAAACCCATATTAAGTTAGACAGAATGATGAACCCCCAAAGATGTCCACATCCTAATCCCTGAGGCCTGGGACGATGTTACCTTACGAGGCAAAAGGGACTTTGCAGATATGATTAAGTTAAGGACCTTGAGATGGGAATTTATCCTGGATTATCTGGCTAGGCAAATGTCATCCCAGGGTCTCATAAGAAAGAGGCAGGGGGTCAAAGTGAAAAGATGCGCCCATGGATGCAGGCAGGAGTGCTGCCAAAGCAGGGAAGGGGCTATGAGCCAAAACACGCAACCTCAAAAAAAAAAAAAAAAACAAAACACGCAACCTCTAAAAGCTGGGAAAAGCAAGGAAACAGAGTCTCCCTTAAAGCCTTTTACAAGAAACCAGCCCTGCTGACACCTTGATTTTAGTACAACGAGACCTATTTTGGACCACAGACCTTCAGAACTGTACTTTAACACATTTGTGTTGCTTTAAGCAACTAAGGTTGTGGTCATTTGTTACAGCAACATGAGGAAACTAACACTATTTCTTACAGGTTCCAAGGATGATCCTGAGTCACCAACCCAGATGCACTACTGGACTAGAACTTGCAATGAACTTTAGAGAAGAAAACATAAAGAATCACTGAAATTTTAAATGCACATTCCCTGGACTCCATAAATCCACTTCTAGAGTTTATCCTGGTGTTCTTGCTCAGGTGTCAAATGTGGGGACACAGATGTTCATTGTGGTGGCAGCATGACAACCAAAACGGGTCCGTTGGTATGGGACTAGTTAAATAAATTATGATATACAGCATCCATGGGCCATATGTTCTAAGACCCTCAGTGGATGCCTGAAACTGAGGATGACCGCAAACCCTGAATATACCATGTATGTTTTTTCCTAAATATACACACCTATGATAAAGTTTAATTTCTAAATTAGGCACAGTAAGAGATTAACGAAGTAATAATAAACTAGAACAATTTTAACAATATAATGTAATAAAAGTTATATGACGTGGTCCTGGTTTCTCTTGTAGAGGCCAAGGGCAGGCCACTCCAAGATGGGCCACTTTGGCAGGAACAGTATTTTGAGGTAAAGCAATCCACACCCAGCAGAGTCAGGAAGAGCTCTTTACTACCCCCTCAACTGCCTGCCTTTATCAGGAAGACAGCTATTCACAGAGATTCTTCTTTATCTAGAAAACTTATCTACATAATAGGGCAACCTTTGTTTTCTAAACCTCTCCTCTCATCTTCCTGCTAATGGTCTGTCTCCCTTTGTATCCTCAGACCCCCACCCTTCTCTTTAGCTCATATAAGCTTCCCGTTGCCTGACTGTCCTTGGAATTTCCATGTCTGTGTAGAGTCCCACATACATATGCTACTAAATTTGATTTTCTCCTGTTAATCTGTCTCACGTCAATTTGATTCTTAGTCCAGCCAGAAAAACCTTGAAAGGCAGAGGAAATTCTTCCTCCCCAACACTCTCAAAATATCTTAGTGTGCTGTACTCACCCTCCTTGTGATGATGTGACATGATACAATGCCTACGTGAGGAGATGAAGTGTGGGGAATGACATAGGCATTGTGACATATCATCAGGCTTCTGCTGCCCTTCTGACGGTAAGGCAGGAGGGCCACCCGCCTCCCGACCGGGCTGACACAATGGAAAGCAAAGCTATGTAGATAAGAAGGCACTAGTGTATCCATAGAACCGAATACTAAGCAGCCTTTTAAAAAGGGAACCAGACAGCTCTCTACATGTATTGGCAAGAAAAAACTTACAAGATACGGTAAGTACAAACAGAAAAACACAAAAGAGTGTGTTCACGGTGCTGCTTTTAGTATAAAATAAGTTCATACAGACACATACATGTACCTGGAAGAATCAATAAAAAAATGTGCAGCAGGGGGTCGGGGCGAGAGGGAGAAGCGCTCTTCCCTGCGCCACACTGTCCAGTCAAATGCATCTGAGCAGCCTGTGCGCAGAAACAGGAAAGACCCGAGGAAATGCACAGTGACCTAATCAAGTGTTCAGAAATCTAGTTCCTCTGATTTCCAACTCAATATCTGGACATTTTCCCAAACAATAAGGCTGCATTTTTAAAGCATTTATTCTTCAAGTACAATGAACAAATGTTAGCTGAAGCTAAAATTTAGTAGTAAGGACGATAAACACTATTCTCTGCCTTAATTCCCCAAAGTACATTTGTGACTACAATCCTAGAGATGAACACAAGGAGAAGACCAAAAATAGTACCCGATTCTGGACCCTCCTGAAATTATTTGATTTTCAACAAGTATTGTAAACTATTTTCCTGTCCTACTATAATACTTTCAAAAATAATCCATTCCAGGATGATAGAAAGATTTCTACACGCATGTATTGGTAATGAAATACAGGATGGATTTGATCTATGCAAATTCCATGGTAAATACTGGTAAAAGCCTGTGCTTGGTAAACGGGTTGATTGTGCCCACAGAAGACCAGTGAAATCAGAGGTGACATACGCTGTAACTGAGCGGCTCTCAGCTGCTTCTTCAGCCTCTCCACTTCGTTCTTTAAAAACCTGATGTGGCGCATCATGTTTTCTGGAGAGTCTATCTCCATGGAGATGTCTCTAGGCGACGGGGGAGCAGAGACTGGCTGGTCTAATTTCTCCTGCAGGATTCTTCAGTGAAAAGAAAAATTCCAACAATGAAAAACAGTTTGCCTTAAAAGACAAAACAACATACTAGCTGGAGGGTTTGTTTTCATAGCAAGCTCCTGTGAATCACCGGAATTCACAGGGTTGTCGAACTCAGGCTCTGCCCATTTTATATCCACTTCTGGTCTCCCTTACCTAATATCCAGGTCAAGGTCAAAGGGCAGAGCTGAAGGATCCACCCTCCTTTTTTTCTTTTAAATGACCACTGGTAATTAAGCATTAGTGAAAAACTCTCCAGCATTTGCTTCTGATTATTATGCCTGGTATAGAGTAGGCACTCAGAATTATCTGCTGACTAAATGAATCACATTTGTTTGCGGAAACGGAGATACTAAAGAAATTTCACTCTCAATGCTTTTCTGGTCAACACTTCCGAACTATGTACTATGGTCCCCCTTGGAAGGTGATGCCACACAGACTCTACTTCTAAAATTTCCTTCCTGAAAAACCAATCCTGAGGGTAGGGCAAACTGGGCTGAAGGCCCTTTGTTTCTGGTCAGAGCACAGGTAAAAGATAAAGAACAAAACCAAACCACAATCCCTGGGCTAATAATTGGTGGTCCCACCTTCTATACCAATTACGGTTAGTTTGAGGCACAAGGAACGTGAATATTCAACGGCTTTTCACCAACCACATGATACTTCATATTGCTTAACACAATACTTTGGTACTTATACATATAAAACCCCCAACTGCGCTCTGCAAAGGAAGACAGATTGGCAATGGACCTCTATGTCCCCTTTCATAAGCTTCTAGGGTCTTGGTTTGGTTTGGCTTTTAACTTTTTACCTTTAAGTTTGCCTAAATGCAAATTGTGAATCACCTTCAGGCCTGCCCTTGTTGAGAAAACTGGTATGTTAAATATTGTAATGGTCCCTGAATTTATTATATTAAATACCTTTTCATAATTCAATTTTTTAGTACCACTACAATAATGCAAAGCATACTCAATTCAACTACGGCTTGAGTATTTCCCTAGAGATATAGCTTTAATTTTCACTTTTCTTAAAGCCTGTGATAGGACTATATTTTGCAAATTTAGAGATGAACTCAAAATAACTTATGGATGTTCATCCAAACCAAATAGTTATGGCCAAAGCCTCTGGTTAGCAAAAAGATCCTAGTGAAGTAGATTAATGAATATTTTTTAAAAACTCCCTTTCTACACCCCCCCCACACACATCCCACATACAGAAACCCCTGACATTCTTCAAGTCCTGCTCCGTCACCCCCATTCAATGTATGCGGTACTTAAAAATTAGGGCACGAAGGGGGTCAAGAAATGTCTGCTGTTGAATGACATTTCACATCCATGTACATACATTTAGCAAAATGATTCCTAACCTTAACTATGTACAAGTATTTACAGTAAGTTTTCAAGTCAATTGATAATAGTTTTCCTATGAAAATCTCAGTCTTCCTGATGAAGTACATTCTAGAGATGTGTCATAATTAAGCATACATAGTACACATCCTAAGCACTTGAGAAAACCGGGGAAGCCAGTTCAGTAAGGTAAAAAGCTGAAATTGCAACCATCTTTCCCGAACAATTTGAAGGTGACTAATTTTTTCATAGCCTTTGTCCCAAATGAAAGGAAATTTTACTGGGACTATAAGAGAGAAATATAAAGACGTGACCAACATGAGAATTCAGAAGGCTTTCAACATTTTTTTGGTTTGGCAAATTAAAATGATGTGCATCACCCAAGGAACTAAAACGCCCCTTTCCTATTTGTCAGTCACACCCAGAGCATGCCCTGGCCGTGCACACGCCCCACACTGAATAGCAAGACTAAAACAAACCGCTTTTCAGCTTCAAGTTTGTCCATCCTTTTCCAGAGACGATTAACTAGCGCTTCCTGTTCTTGTTCCAAAGTATTTTCAAGGTCGATCTTCTCTCGTCTCAACTAAAGGAAGGAAAAAAGTTTTACTGAGAATAGTAAGCCATTTAAACTTTGTTAATGAGATTTTTTGATTGGACTATTAGGACCCCCTTATTTGGAGAAAACTGCAAAGAAATGGCCAATTTCCTGGCACAGACACATTAAGTGCATCTAGTTCTTAAACTTTAATTGAGAAAACCGAGACAGGTTCATTCTTTGATGTTAAAGCTTAATTGCTGTCTGGTACATGAATCACCCTGCTTGTTTCAGCATTTATTCAAGGCACATGGAAAGTCCTCCTTAGAGAGGGTTTGGGGGAGCTCGGCTTACCACTCATACCAGGACTTCTCTGGGTTTGTCCCCCGACCCCAGTGCTGCATGTAGTTCAGGGCTAAACCAGGAGGTTATATTACCATGTATATAAATAACTCAAAACCTGAAGACAATTCTACATACTGATTAATGGGTGTACAATACTAGTTAACTCTGAGAAGGTAAAGAAGAAGGAAGGTTTGATTTGGGGGAAAGTCTGCAGTTGCAAAGGAAGCCCCAAAATGCACTCTACTTCATGAAAAGAAGCAAAGATGGGAAAATGCATTTAATCAATCACTATTGGGCAATATGCAAATACTGTGAACAATGCCAGCCACTGGCTAGTAGGGTGTGTAGCAGGGAACCAAAAAGTCAGAATTTTCTGCCCTCATGACACATTTTAGTGGGGTCAAGACAGTAAATGAAATAAATTATATACTTTGGTGGAGAGTGAAAGCGGTATGAAGAAAAAGAGGGCTGGCAGGAGGGACAGAAAGTACAATGATCAATTTCACAGTAACGTGCAGAGGGAATGCGTTATATCATTCTTTGTACTTCTCTAGGGGTTTGAGATATTAAATAATTTTAACAGAATTTTTTTAAGATTTTATTTATTTTTGAGAGAGATC